GAATTACGGAAGGAGAAGGCTGAGAACACCAAGATGTCATTTTTGCCTCAAGTTAACCCCATACTTACACCTGTGTTCTAGACCCTGGATGCGTGTTTCTGTGTTCTAGACACTTGGCTGCCTCCAGGCCATTTTCCTCTTCAAAGGACCATGGCCCATTGTAATTCATGTGAATTAGGAAGCTTTTGAAATGTTTTTACATTATGAAGGGACATCACTTGCTGATTTATTTATCAAGAAACTGAGGGCCAAGAACATAATATCTGGGTGATTATTTGAATTGAAGTGAGCTGAATTTCTTCTTAAGACCACACATGAAAAAAATGTTCCAACAGATGGAAAGATCAATTGTTGAAGAGTTAGACCCTGACCACGGACAGGCGGTAACCTAAAGCCTGGCTGTGTTGTGATGGTTGACCTTTGACATGTCTGGAATCGAGCTCAGCAGCTCTTTGATTGGGACTCCACCTCCTTCGGACGAGTCAAGGCCAGCATGGTGGACTGCCTGGGATGGAAGGTCTTCTTTCCCTTTGATTACGGAGAGTTGAAGTTCAGGCTCTGATCCGCTCTCACTGCATCCCTGCCATATTTCCTGCAAGTGATGAAGCCCAGCGCATGTCACTGACTGTAGAATGCTGCAGTTGTTCTGATTTATTATATACTTGCTTGGACCCAACTTTAAATTAGATTCGATGTGATTTAATGGTTTCCACATGTCTTCTTGGTCATAGACTCGCACAGCTGTATTTCAAGAACAAGGGCTGAGGGTTGTAAACTTTTGTTGCCTGCCACTGAGTGTCATTCCTAAATTTTATAGGTGAAGGGCAAGCGATGCAAATAAGACAGTGCAAGCGATGGGTGTTCCATGTGAAAGGAATACTGTCTGGCTTTGAAACGAGGCTGGTCAGTGGGTTGTACTCATGTTAGAATAAGGGTAGGTGTTGTAATGGCAGTAAGGATCCCTCTGGACGGAGGTTCAGTTTTTTATTGATTAGAGGCAGGCCTACCTGGAAAACAGCTGGTATAAACACTAGTTCAGGGAAAATGGATGATGAGGACAGAAGAATTGAAACGGTTAACAAGGAGAGAAACAGAAGGCATAAGGCAAGAGCCTACATGCGGAGTAGCCTTCCTGGTCCTCTGATACTTAGTTTGATGAGCATTTTCCCATTAGGTTGGACAGGGACCTCATTTTTCTTCAACTCCTCTCCTGGTTTAAAGGTTTTGTTTATTCCTTTGCTGCTTCTACACTGTTTTGTATTTAGAAAAGACAGCATACTAATCTGTGTTTTATTACTACCTAGATTGATAGGATTTCTTTTCATTCTTATTTAATCTTGCTTTCCAGGATTTTTTTAAAAAAGATAATTATTACTGTGACTCTGAGGTTACAACATTTTTTTTTTCTTTCTCTTTAATTCCAGGCACAACATTTACTGTGAAAGGTCACGTGCTTCTGTTTTTTTCTATCTGAAGTGTCTTTGGCAACTTAGTAAGTTATAGCCATCAGTAGAATTGTAAAGGTAAAATGAATATCAAAACACTGAGCAAGAATGTGCCTACTGATACAAAGTAGTTTTATTTCAGAGTTCAAATAAAAACACAAAGTTAACTAAGTCAGGCCCTCATATTCATTTAGGAAATTATGCATTTCAGTGCATTATAAACTTCATCTGCCTCATCTTCCTTCTTCATGTAGGCGTGCAGGCTTATGGGCCTTTGAAGGAATACATTTACATAGGAGAGAGAGAAGAGGGGAGGGGAGGGGAGGGGAAGGGAGAGGAGAAGAGAGGAGAGGGAGAGAAAGAGAGAGGGGAGAGGGAGGGAAGGAGGGAGGGAGGGAAGAGAGGCTACTGGAGGGAAAAGAGAGAAGGGGAATAGATTAAAGATAAATGGGAGATGGGGCAGTACTATGTACCTTTGGGACTTGTACTTATACCTGGAATTATATAACTTGAAAGGAGATGGGCTAAGATTGAGTTACACTCAGCCTGAATACAGCAGATGAGCCTAGATTGTTTTGTACAATCCCATTCACCCATTTACTCACTGTTCATTCATTTGTCCGTTCATTCATCAAACAGCTAGTGGAACACTTACTGGATTTCCTCGGGGAACCCAGGATCTGGGGGGAGGAAACAGATAAATGATAATACAACTCAGCAAGTGCTACAGTGGAAGAACGACCGATACTCTGTGGGCATCCAGAGGAAGGGGAGTTGTTCTCCCTCTGCTTTTGCAGCCTCGGACAAGCTACGTTTATAATTTATAAACACGTCCGAACTTTTGGATACACTTTCGTGTATATGTATTTAAACAAAAGTGAATAATTTATAGGTTTTTGGAGTTGCTTGCAGCTTGATTCCTGACCTTAGTCAATGGAAGCGACCTGAACTTGGTTTCTAATAACTTTTGCCAGGAAACAAAGTTCACGGAAGACTTTCAGATCAAAGCAGCAGCTTGACAAATAACAGTCGAGAAGGGAGTCGACATCACTAAACCAAACGGATCATCCGAAAGCAGTGCTGGCCAACAAGAAAGACGATGTGAGCCGCATATGCAATTTAAAAAAGCAGTTGAAATGAACTTCAATGCTCTATTGAACCCATTGTATCTAAAACATAATTTCAACACCATTAATATAAAAAATTAGTGCTTTTTACGTTTTTAAATTTTCATTTCTTAAAATAACATGTTTAGTTCCTCAGTTTCAATGCTCAGTAGCCACATGAGGCTAGTTAGTGGCCACTGTGTTAGACAGCACAGGCTCTTTATGATTCTAAATGATGACAAAATTAAACTGAAGTATCACATAGGGAGCTTTTATAAGAATGTAATGTTATATGTTAACTTCTTTTGAGAAAAAAAAAACACCCCCCCCCCCCCCCCCCCCGCCAGAAATCCATATCAACAGTGAGAGAGACAAATAGTCTCACTAAGATATGAATTACTAGTTAACATTTAGTTTTAATTCTTAGATAACAACTAACTACTATAAGCAGAAAGGTAATTATTTAAAGATACTTCGGGAAGAGAAGAGTTTCAGTTCTGAGAATAATTTATGATCCACAAGATTATACTATAATCTGTGACTGCAAATGTGAAATTCAGGACAGAATACTCATTTTTATTGTAAAGAGTGTACTCATTTCCACAGCTGGGAAAAAAATGAATAAGCAACACAAACCACTCCTAAGGGAGGTGTAAGCACAGCCAGGGCGGGTTTCTGACATTGTGTGTGGGTCAACATGTTTCCTTGTGAGTTGACATTCCCCCATATTCTGGCTGCTTTGAGACTTTATGGTAGTTCTTCCATAAAAGTCAAAGAGTTATTTTTTTAGAATAAGATATAAAAAAAGTTCCAGGAATATAAGGAATGCCTTTCGTTTGTAATTATATTTGTGAAATT